GAGATATTTGTATTGATAGAGAGATTTATCAACTATTTCAACCAATGCTGAATATACTTGCATCAAAACACCCTGTTATACAAGAAGATAATTATTATCTTATCAATATTTCTACTGGTGAATGTATATGCTTTGATTTCATATGGAATGGCTCTTTTCATGATGTGTGTAAGCACGTTTATGCAGCACGTTTATTCAATGATATAGAAGACAATAAAATTACACCTGATGCTATAAAACATGATCTTGTGTTATATTTTTGTAACAAGGAATGTGCGATGCCAAATAAACAGAAAAATTACATTATTTATAGTAACTCAGATAATGCTGCATTTGAAGAGATTCTTCGAATTTATTCAGAACAGGGTAATGATATCTTTTTTCCTTACGAACATGAAGTTACAGAAAAAGATCCATTCCGTCCTGCTGAAATGCCAATAAGAAAGATGTCAAGCATTGGAGCTTCTAAGGTACATGGGGCAAAACCACGGAAAATTAATAGTTTTGCCTTTACAATAGATAAAGAAGTAAGCTAATTAAAATATAATTCATCGCAAGCTATTGAGTGCTTTACAATGTTAAATTTTATTAAGTCTCATCTCTAACTTTTATACTATATTGAATTTTTAGAATGTTCTTGATAATAATGTTCCAATGTTACTTGATGATGAAATAGAATTATCGAACGTATCTAAACTAAAAGAAACTTCGGCCGTTAATACAAGGGAAGAGTTACGTTCATTAGCACCATCAGTTCAAAAGCAATTAACAACTGCAATTCGTAATCATAAACGTAGTATTTCAAACAAGGTAAATTAAATATTATTATATTGGATAAATAAGTAATGTATTAATTACAAATTTTAATAGTTAACTCAAGACAAGAATAACTTCAACATTATACTATCCAAAAGAACTATCGCATGATCTGCACTTGAAGGTCTCTTTGCAGAGAGAGGGATAAGCTGGAAAAGATGTGAGTTCGTAAAGGCTTGTATTGAACAGAATATTTTCTTGGATAACAATGCAGAACTAAACAAAAAAAAATTGTTTACTTGGTTTGATGGAAAAAAAAACAAGAAAAAACAAATATCTAAATTGTAACTATCAAATATTGAATGGTATTAGTATGTACATTTATTATTTGTTTTAGATTTCTTTAAGATTCAAACATCTCACGATTTTAAGTTATACATATAGATTGTGCAAATACGGCTTAAATTTTTTGAATAGTCATTCGAACTTTGAATATCTTCTCAAGTGTATAGAATGTATTTGATATTTCATTAAAAAACATTGTTAACTGCTTATATATCTATACATGCAATATAACCATATTCAATGTCAATTTTTAAATATTGAGTTTTTATCCTATGTTATTACTACACAATCATGTGGGTCTTATAGTATAACTATAAATTCATTATCTTAAAAAGGATCTAATGTTAAGTGAAATCATCAGGTTTTGAGGTGTCAGATTTTAATTAGTGATAAAATAACCGATTAAATGTCTTCTTTTTTAATCGTAAGGAGGTTCACCTCAAAATTAAATTCACAACCTCTTCATAAGAACTATTTCAGTAAAATTTCAGCTTGAACGCTTAATAAAGATATAATTTTTCATTTTACAGGCAATTTAAATATTCTATAAGTTGAATGTTCAAAACGTATATATTAATAGAAAATCTTAAAGCATAACTTTATTCTTCGCTATTTAATAAATATTTCTGCGGTAGTTCTTGGTAATTCTTGGATTATTTAGTATGTTAAATTATTTTAATATTGATGTTAATAAAGATATATTAACTATATAATGATATATTTATTTGTGTAATATAAAAATTACATATTATGTCATACATAGAGGTGCAGACATATTGTCATAATTTAATTACAACAATATATAGTCATACATACGGGTTGTATTACATGGGTTATGCTGTAATATGTCAATTATATTGTCAATCATATTACATTACAGTAGTTGTGGTACATTACACAGATCAACATTTTTTTTTTTTTAGAGGTGGGTCAATAAAAATAGATCGGGTGAGTCAATAACGATGTTTTTGCCTCTAGCACCTTTCTTATCTTTAGTAATACTTTGTATCTAGAATCTCTAGTGTTTTTTTTACTTCTAATAATATTTTATATCTTAAATTTCTTCGACATTTTACCATCAGTAGCATTTTTTTTTACATTGAATCTTTTGGCATTTTTATTTTTTTTCTTGAACTTTTTTCTTGAATTTTTGTAACACCTTTCTTTTTAGGTCTCTACAACACATTCTTCTCTAATAGTTTTTAAGACAATTGTTCTTGAGGCAATGATTTTTTAGATAATAGTTCTTTAGACAATAGTTCTTTAGGCGATAGTTCTCTAGGCAATAGTTTTCTAGGCAATAGTTCTCTAAGCAATAGTTCTTTAGGAGATGGTTCTCTAGATGATAATTCTTTAGACAATGTTTTTTTAGGTGATAGTTCTTTAAAAAATGGATTTCTAGGTGATAGTTCTTAAGACAATAGTTCCTGAGATGATGGTTCTCTAGACGATAGTTCTCTAGATGATGGTTTTCTAGATAATGTTTCTTAAGATGATAGTTCCTGAGATAATAGTTCTTAAAGCAATAGTTTCTAAGGCTATAATTCTTTAGACAATGGTTCCTGAAACAATAGTTTCTGAAGTAATAGTTCTAAGTACTGTACAATATATTTGGATCTGGGTCTTAATCTAATAATAATTACAAATACAAATAAAATATAAAATACTAAAAATAAATAACTAATGATAAAAATAATAAAAATAAATTATCATACAGATCATTATTTAAATCTGTTATATTGTCAGTTTGAATATCAATTGTAGTGAAAATTTCTTCTTTATTATAAATATTGTTATTATATAATTTATTAATTTAAAATGCAATTACTATAAAGCCTATCACTATATACAAGCTCATAGGATATATTTTTATATACTCAATATCATGAATTGTTTATAGCCATTATAACAAACCTTAAACCAAAAAACTAGTCATTTCAACCAGTAGTTTCCTTTTATTTTTCTAAGTTTTGTTCTAAAATTCTATTTGTATATTCGACTAATCCTTAAGACTAAAGATGTCAAAAGTCTTCCATTAATTACTTTAATGGCTATAAGACTATAAATTTTTTTAATTACTTGTAAAACAAGCTCTTTTCCATTATCTAATTGTAATATAATTAATGATGATTTAATTAAATGAAACAAATTAAACAAAAAGAATGTGACTTCAATTACTCTTTTTAAAATTAATGCCCTTGATCAGAAAAACCTAATAAAATGATCTCTAATATGATATATATATTTAAATTCTTTGTCTGAATCAAAGCTAAGATCAATTAAATCCATCTGTAAAAAAAATTTAATAAAATTAGCAATTTTTTTTTAAAAAAAAAAATAAAATAAAATAAATTTATCTAAACTTTGGACAAAAAATTCTTTGCGATTATAGACTTAGTAGCTAATGGGTGAAATGCTGGCTTTTTAATAGCACATATTATACAATTATTTACAAACTGTTCAACAATATCCTGCTTTATCTAATCTCATTTATCTTATACAGATTTTCATATTTGCTTCTATTCACCATGCTGTATAACCTTACTATGAATGTAATAAAAACTTCATAGAACTATTCAATAATAAAAACTAGATTATTTGAAGCTTTCATAATAACTCTATAATCATTTGGTACAATTGCTTCAATCTTGAATCTTTTTTTTACCCAATCATGGATGCCTTTATCATACAGAAAGTTGTCTTTAGAATTCATTAAAATATTCTTTATTTTATTAAGAAGTTCAAGGTTTATCAAAATCTTTTTGTATTTAGAGTCAGAAAGATTGGCTATATAGTTTTTTATAATTTGATTGAGTGTGTTTTTACTAACAAAGCTAGATTTCATTATATTGTATTAAAAAAACTATATTTATAGAAAAAAAAACTATGTATAGAAAAAAAAATATATTAAAAGATATATTATTTGAGTAGAATATGTTGCAAAAAAAAGTACTATTAGAGAAGAATGTGTTGTAGAGACCTAAACAAAAAAAAATTGTTTACTTGGTTTGATGAAAAAAAAAACAAGGAAAAACAAATATCTAAATTATAACTATCGAATATTGAATGGTATTAGTATGTACATTTATTATTTGTTTTGGATTTCTTTAAGATTCAAACATCTCACGATTTTAAGTTATGTATATAGATTGTGCAAATACGGCTTAAATTTTTTGAATAGTCATTCGAACTTTGAATATCTTCTCAAGTGTATAGAAT